AAGCTGCCCTCTCAGCACCTTGGTTCTGATACCTGACTCCAACCCACAGAGCAGTATGCTGATATATTCATGCTGCTAAGGTTGCACAATCTGTGGTGATTTGCTGATGACAGTCATAGAAAACTAATACACGTCCATCCCTAACTTATTTTCAGCAAGACGAGACCAAAAACCAAACCTATCAAGTTGTCATCAAGTTGATCAGATTCACAGGGCCCTCAAGGACAGAGCAGAACCGTCCCATCGGATTTCTAAGGCTGTAAGTTTATAAGGAGACAGAATGCCGTGTCTGTCTACCATGGAGTGACTGGTGGGTTTCAATCATCCACCCTTTGGTTAAACAGCCAAGCACTTTAATCATAACCGCGATGCCACCAAGGCTCCTTCAGCAAAATAAATTCGTTAGAAGTGCACACTACAAAATCTGGCTTCCAAGTTGAGATCAAAGCTCGCTCCTTGTCAGCTGTGTACACTTATACAAATTATTAGGCTTTCTGTGCCTCAGTTCTCTTGTGGCTCCAAATGATAAGCGCTGGACTGTGAATCACAAAATCTGGGGTTCAAGCCCATCAGCTAAGGCTTTCTACTCCTATGAAGATTTAAAGCCTAGGAAACCCTATACGAGTCAGAAACGACTCAACGGCACTTAACAACAACACAGCAGGACTAACTCTGCAGTGCTGAAGGATTAATGACTTAATTCATGCAAAATATCTCTTCACGTGTGGGAAATACCAAACACACAGGAACCACTGCCACTACCGAACTTAATCACAAATAAGCTAACTCCTTCTATTACAGCCACACACAGAAAATCTATCATCTTCCAAACAGCAGAGGAAATCAACCTTTGGAATAAAAAGGGAGACGTCTTGGTATGGCGCTGCAGAATAAATGCTGGACTGCAAGGTCAGTTTGAGCCCCAAGATTAGCGGTCCACACTCACCCACCAGCTCCTTGGAAATCCTATACAGGGTCACTTTAAGTTAGAAACAACTGGACAGCACATAACAACAAGAATAACACGGGAGGTCTGTACACACCTCTACAAGCATTCTCCAAAATGGCCCCAGCTCCATTAAGCTACCATGTTGCTCTTCAAGAGACCACATTAGTGATCAAACCCTCCCCTGTGGCCCCCTTAACACCACCCCCAACACCCAACACCACCCCCCGCAACAACAAAAAAGCCTTGAAACTAGATGGCGCCACTGGAGAAGTCTATTAACATTTAGAGAAGAGCTAAAAGAAAACGAGACACAGAATAAAGGAATATACTCCCTAATTCATTCTATGAAACAAACAACCCTGAAACTCAAACCAGACAAAGACGCCACAAAGTAAGACAACGACGTCTCAATATCGCTAATGAATATACACGCAAAAATCCTTAACAAAACACAGCGAACTGAATCCTACACCATATTAAGAGTCAGATGCTGGCAAGGATGTGGGGAGATTGGAAGCTTTATCCACTGCTACTGGAAAAGCAAAGTATTACAGTCCATGTGGAAAACTGTGTAGTTGTGGTTGTTAAGTGCCGTCTAGTCGGTTCCGACTCATAGCAACCCCATATAGAGTTTCCAACGAGAGGCTGGTAGGTTTGAACAACTGACCTTGTGGTTAGCAGTCCAGTGTTTATCCTACAGTGCCACACCCATGCCTCAAAAAAACTAAAAACAGAACCACCATGTGACCCAAAAATTCCACTCTTACATATGTACCCAAAAGGCTTGAAAGCAGAGACTCACCAAGAAACATGTCTACCAATGTTCACTACAGCACTGCTGACAATAGACAAAGTGAATGTTCACCAACAGAAAGGTGGATGCAGAAAACATGGTACATAACATATTCAATGGAACACAACTTAGCCATTAGGAGAAACGAAGTCTTGACTCATGCTACAGTATGGATGGAATTTGGAGATATCAAATTCAATGAGCAAAATTAGCCAATCACAAAAGGGCATGTACAAAGGGGTGTCAAAAACTCATGGCAAAGTTCCATTCAGTTTTTCCACAAACTTTTTGAAGCCCCTATGTATTTATTGACTGAGTGACTTCACTTCTATATAAAGGTAAGTGTATAGAGACCAAAGTCTTAGCAGTGGCTACTTTGCCCAGGATCAGGCAGTGTTTCATTCTGCTGTGTATAAGGTCGCTATGGGTCAGTACCGACTTGATGGCACCTAACAACAACAACAACCACCTGGTGAGGTGCTGTGGGCTAATGGGTTAGATGCAAAGTCATTTGAACTGCAATGTCGGTGGCCCAAGCTCACCAGCTGCTCCTTGGAAACCCTAGACAGGGTCGCTATAGGTTGGAATCAACTCGACAACACTTTAACAACAACAACAAAACCAAAAAACAGATGTGTGTGTGTATGTGTGTGTGTGTGTGTGTGTATTAAGTGCCAACGAGTCAGTTCCAACTCACAGTGACCCTGTCTAGGACTTCCAAGGAGCAGCTGATAGGTGTTAATTGCCGACCTTGCGATGAGCAGTTCAGTGACAGTTCTCCAGTGCCACATCAGGAGGGTGGAGGAGGAAAGGGGACGTTAACAGTGACAATGGGAAAATCTCGCATTGATTAAGGCTAGGGGAGCACAGCTGATTACTATAATGGTTGTCACACTGTCTGCCTAACAGGAAAATCATCGTCAATGTCACGGAGCTTTACATGTAGAAAATGATGAACTGGTGTATGCTCTTCTGCGTTCATTCACACGAACAGCAACAAAATAAAAATTAGGAGGGGAAAAAAAAAGCTGACCACAAAAACCTAGAGCCAGTCATAATAATGAAGGGACAGGCTCACAAAGTCCAAGTGTCCCAATGACCTCTGCCAAGTGATTAAGCACTAACTACAGGGCTTGACAGTTAAAGTGCCCATCAGAAAGGAAGCGCTTGCCTTATTAAAAATAATGGATTTATCAAAATTAGTTTCTACTCAAAGTTGCCATTATTGGCATTTGTTCAGCTTATTTGGTTGGTATTTATGCAACCCTTTTAATTTGCAAAAAGCCTGCCCTCTCATTTCTTCATCAACCATTAGAAACTATATTTCAGTTGGCCACTGATTTGGCAGGATTTCCCTAAATTGATACCACCAGGGTAAGCAGCGATGATACACATTATAGAAACACAAAGATGTAACAGCTGATAATTTCAACAAAAGGTAGAGGTAAAACCGAAATCAAAGCACAAATACGTTTCCACTTGGTAACTTCACAGTTCTACAATAGCTCAAAGCGTGTGTCAAAACTCAAAAAGAACAGCAACACATGGGGCTAGGGGGGGCGCTTTTCTAACTCCAGGGAGAGGAGTTATAAGAATACGTATTATACATATTTAGACGGCTGGGAGTTAATGCGCTGGACTGCAACGTTGGTTTGAATGGCAAGGTCAGCAGTTCATGCTCACCAGATGATCCTTGGAAATCCTGTAGGAATCGCTATGAGTTGGAACAGACTCAACAGCACTTAATAACAACAACAACAACAAAAACAGCAGACTGATACAAAGGAGGCCCCGTGTGGTGCTGTAAGATAAGCACTGGACTGCCAAATGCAAGGTCTGCAGTTTAAACCCACCAGCCACCCCTCAGAAACCCTATATAGGGTCACTATGAGTTGGAACCACCTCAACGACACTTGACAGCAACAACAACAACAACAGATTGATAAAAAGACCCCTGATAACATAGTGGATTCTAAGATGAGCTGCTAACCACAAGGTCAGAAGTTCGAATCTACCAGACGTTCAGTGGGAGAAAGATGAGGCTTTCTGCTCTTAGATTCATAGCCTCAGAAACACTATACAGGGTCACTATGACTCGACAGCACACAACCACAACCACAACCACCACCACCACCAGTACAACGATAAAAAGAAACTCTAAGCACTGGACCACAAGGTCAGTGGTCCAAACTCACCAGCTGCCCCCTTAGAAGCACTATATAGGGTCACTATGAGTGGGAACTGACTTGATGGTACCTAACAACAACAACAACAAACTTTTCTATGGTAAAAGTAATAAACTTCAACATTTCAACCCTAAATAACACTAAAATAATTTAAATTAAGTTCCATCTTAAAAGGTCATAAAATATGCCCTGGCAACAATTTATTGCTAAAGTCTCAAAAGAAACCCTCCAATTATATAAAATGAGCCCAAATTATTCGTCTAAGTTTTCATTATTCTGAGCTTAAGAACTATAGTTTGTATGTGAAAAGCCCACATTGATAGATACTACAGTTTCCTTCAAAGGCACTGAGGACTTGGTGCCTCACAAGTCCTCATCGGGGGGCATCCCACTCCCTTCCTGCCCAAAGGGCTGCAATGGCAGGGAGGCAGAAGGAGCAGACCCCTCCCTCTGAAGGGGCAGGTCTGAGCCACTCCAGAGGAAAGCCCCCAAACTCTACATGCCTCTCCCTCCCAAACCTTCAACTGCCCTGAAATGGCTCGCCTAGGTCTTAATCAACAGGACACCAGGTTTGCGGCTATTTCATCAGTGCTCACGTGTGTGGGCTGCAAATGTTTCATTTTGTCTTTTCATGTTGACGCCATGTGGGTTTGGCTTTTTTAATAGAACGTGTATATTCTGGTGCACCTGAACGATCCTTAGAACTAAATCCTGGTGACAGCCAGGGCAGTGGAAGTGGGGAGTAGAGAGGTGAATCACAGGGGAACCACGAGAGGATACAAGGAAGCCCAGACACAGGCAGGCCCAGGCTGTAGAACTGGAAGCATCCGGGTTAACAAGAGCAACAGAAGTTATAGAAAACTAGAAAGCACATCCTCTACCAACAAATGACACATATCTCCAGCTGGATCCAGCTGCCAGAAGCATCTCAGCTCTGAACAGGTCTACCCTCTGAGGGTCTTGCCCTTAGAAAGGAAAGGCTCACCGTAGCTCCAAGGCCTAGCTCAGGGCCACCCACCTAGAAACCGCAGTGCACCAACAAGAAGTAGAGAAGAAAGAATGAAATACTTACCACTTGAGCTTCCAGGAGTAGAATACTGCGAGGTGTCAAGGAACTTCCTAGGCGTTGAGATGTTGGTAACATCGATGAGAGGCCCAGGAGAAGCATCTTTCACAAGAGAGCTGAAGGGGAGAAGAGCAATGTTACCACCTTCTCCAACACCATCTCCAGCATCCCTGGGCACTCCCCAAGGTGACACATCCTTCATACTGGGACGTTCCTCATCTCCCAAGTCTAGTCCAGTAAAGTGGCAATTGCCACACACAGACTCCTGAAGTATTCTAAGGGTTCCAAGTAGTTCTATTTTTATTCTTTTCATCTCAATATTATGTGTTAGAAAATAAATAAATAGTGCAAGTATCACAAGGTCAGTGGTTCAAATTCACCAGTCGCTTCTTGGAAACCCTATACAGGATCCCTATGAGTTGGAACTGACTCAAAGGCACTTAACAACAACTACAATTCTAGCTGACCACCTTATTCATCCCCAAATTTTGCCAAGCAACCTTTGTGCCCTCATTTGTTCTGGATCAAAAACTAATTTATCCGCAAAGAAAGATCCAATGACCTCAAGTCGTAATAAACCGAGCAGTCATTCAATCTTATTTAACTTGTGTTTGCGAAGCTGGAATTTTCGACACATCCTGGGAGCTCGCTACATTTATTTCTCATTAACTGAGGTTCATAAACTGCATCAAGTCCAGAATCACAATAAAAGATGATTTAAAGAATATCAAGCAGGTTAATTCAGTACTTGATTACCCATTTTACCTTTTCCCAAAAGGCCTAGCCCCTCGCCTGAACAATTAACTTCAGAATCTCCAAAATAAATAATGAATTTTAAGTAACACAAACACTGAAAACTATGAAAATTTCAAATTCATTTTCATTCACAAGCAGCTGCTAAACACAAGAAAGCAGGCAGTGCAAAAGGAAAGACCACCTGCGCCTCCCCTCCAACACCTGAACCTCCTAGTCTTATTGAGCCCACAACTGGAACACTTCTCTCAGGTAGAGAGGTCAAAGCCTGTTTCCTGTCTTCCCACACCCTCAGAGGAACTTCAGGAAGGGACCAAGAGTGGGCAGTGAAGCTTGAGCAGGCAGGCAAAGCTGAAGCAGGAAGAGACAGCAGCCAAGGAAAGCTTTATCACAATGAGAGGGAAAGATGAACGCAATTCTGAAACCCATCCAAGACACCCATTTTTCCCTCCTACATGCCTCTGGAACCAAGGTGCTAAGATGTGTTCACGTGTAAAGGAATATGAAAAATAAGTGTGCTCTTACAGCAGCTGAGGACTCATGGAAAGAGAAAGGCTACATGCTGGCGGCCAGGTGCTGATGGCCAGGAAGCAAGCTTGCAAAATGTGCCCATTGGTTGTTTAAATGATTATATATTCCTGAGTGTTTGTGTGTACATACCCCAAAAAATACACAAATAAAGGGAATAGAAGTAAATACTATTGAATGATGATGCATGAAGGAGACTGTAATCATTGCAATGAAACAAAAGATGTTCCCCCATGTAAACTATTACTCAATTCACAATAAAAACTTAAAAGAAATGTGCTCTTTAGGAAAACAAACTTTACAGTGAAGGGCAAAATGATCATTTAGGGGACTATTTTTACTGAGTTTTGCTAATGCATGAGGCATTGTCCTAACCCTTGAGGATAATGATAAAACCTACGTTACTGTCTCCCTTCTGGCACTCTGGGTTAAGTACTGGGCTGCAAGGTGAGCAGTTCAAATTCACTAGCCTACTGCAAGGGAGAAAGATGTGGCTGTCTGCTACTGTAAAGATCTACAATCTCAGAAACCCTAATGTAGAGTCTGCTATCAGTCAGAATTGATTCAATGGCAGTGGATCTGGGGTTTGGTCTGCTGTTTCTAGTGAGGTGCCCAAGTGCCTTAGTGGGTTAAGTGTCAGACACTAACTGAAAGGCTGAGGATTCAAACCCACCAGCTGCTCCACAAGAGAAGGATGAGACTGTCTACCCCTGGAAAGATCTGAGTCTCAGAAACCCTCTGAGTTGGAGACGGCTAGGGATGGTAGCGGGTGGGTACTGTCACAGTGCAGGGGACATCATGCCTCAGGCAATTCTTGAGAAGGCTTCCATGCCTGTGCCTGGCATTGTGCTCAGTGCTAAGGATACATGTACAACTAAAACATGACCTAAACCGAACATAACACATTTCTCACTGTCAGGATCATGTGCAGAGTCATACGAAGCGTTAAGTCTAAAATACCAAAGTAACCTATAGGACAGAGTAGAGCTGCCCCACAGGGTTTGGTATTTTTGTTTTTGTTAAAAGTATGGACTAATAATGACCCTGAATAGGATTTCTGAGACTGTAAATCTGTGCAGATCAGAAAGCCTCATCTTTCTCTCATGGAGTGGCTGGTGGGCACGGACCACCAACCTTGTGGTTCAAAGTCCGATGTGTATCTGGTTTAGAAAAAGACTATGGTCTTTACGGAGGACTGACTCCTGATGTGGTGCTCAAGAATCAGCACTGGACTCTAAACCACAAAGTCAGCAGTTCAAACCCATCAGCTGCCCCTCGGAAACTCTATACAGCAGAAGTGGGGAACATTTATTCATAACATTTGTAACATCATTTGTGGGCCATCCAAAATTATCAACTTAAAAATGAGCCTGCTATATTTGGTCAAACATTTAATCAATTCACCCCTAATGGTATGGCTAAAATCTGGTGTGAGACTGCAGGTTAATGCGCTGAACTGCAAAGTCGGTTTGAACTGCAAGGTCGGAAGTTCAAGCTCAACAGCCATTTCTTGAAACTCTATACAGGGTTGCTATGAGTCGGAACTGACTAGATGGCACTTAGCAACAATGATGGGATGGCTGGAACCTTGGTTGCCTTGACACGGCCAAACCAAATAATTTTGCCAAGCCAAATATGGCGTGCGGGCCGGACATTCCCCACCCCTGCTATACAGGGTCACTATGAGTCGGAACCAACTTGATAGCACTTAACAACAACAACAACAATCTCTATTGAAGCTGGCTGTAACATCTTTCCCCTGGAGAGTGGTTGGTAGTTTCAAGTACGCAATCCAACACTTCACTACTACGCTACCACGGTTCATCAAGGTTAAATACTGGCATCATTAGCTACAATAGCTCTTTTCCTATCTCTAGAGCTCTAAGTTCCTACTTGCCTGTAACATCTTAAGAAAATCGAGCAGAACCATTTTGAAAATGAAAAAGGATTCTCTCTTCTAGTTTGGGTACTTACAAGAGGATGCAGCTACAGCTCTAAGCCTTCAAGCCCAATATCTGCCATGATAGTCAGTCCAATGATCGATTTTTCCATTCTTTCATCTTCTATATACTGATAGATTTTGTCCTCTCATTTTTCCTCTCTCCTACCACATCGTTTACTTTTACTTTACACACAGTTATGGCACCTGCCTGACCCACCTTTCCTGCTACCGACGAACCTGCCCAACGACTCGGAAAACTCACCGAGTTCACAGTGGTGCTACTGAGCAGTTGTGGTCCCTGAACTGGACTTGACTGCTTACTGAACCAGCACTGCCCGGAATGCAAGGTTTGGGCTCTGCTTTGGTGAAGATTGTGGTAGTGGTGGTGTGCCGTGTAGTCAAGAGTAGAACCAAGAGTAGAATACCACAGGGTCGCCATGAGTTGGCATCGACCCAACAGCAGTGGATTCATTTCTTGTTTATTTACTAAGCAATTAAGAAAAAAAATAAGTAGCTTCCATTTTGAATGATAATAGAATAAATATATCATTCATTTTATAACAATTCCTCTAATGAAGTGGCAGATTTTTAAAAGCACTGATAAACACAGGTATCGGTTAGGAGGAAATTTCAAGATTATAGTTAGACTAGCTAGCACCTTGCCAAGCATATAACTCAAGCAGTTCCATGAGTGCACATGTGTTTGCACATCAAAATGTGTATATATGGATCTACACTGATAACCACTCCTATAACCAAAGACGTGCACATGAGCCACTTTTGGTTAAAGCCTACAATTATTTTCTGAGTTTTAACCTAAAAACATATTCCCAGTAAATACAGGGTGATGCATCGCTTGCCATCTCAACTTTGAAACACATAACCTGCCGACTTTATTATCAGAGCCAGAAGGGTCCTCCAACTCCATCAATAAACTTTTAGAAAGTCAATTTACTGCAAAACTATTTTCATAGCCTCGTCTCTCTCGCTCACTGAAATTGTCCCTTGGGCTTCAATTTTCTCCTTTGTGAACACTAACCCAAAGGCAAGTCACTCTGGAAATGACTTTCGGATTTTTTTTTTCTCTTTTATGGATTGATTTCATCTCCAGAGTTCAAGGGAAAGGGGCACATTCACTCGTTTAGTTACTGAAAAGATGGGGCTCAACAGGGAAGCAGGTGCTCTTATAAAGGACCACAGCTATGCAGCCTGTGCCTCAGTTTCTTTCCTTTCAGCACAGGGAAAAGGTCTGTCCTCACCAAACCTCAGACATAAAGTTGAGAAAGTATGAATTAATACCCTCAAAGGGTTCTGAATTGCTCAGAAAAAGACTTTTCTAAAATTTACAAAGAAATAAAAATTAAATGGTTCTTTTTGAAGTTTCTAATGAACTGGTATGCTCTGAACTGCTTTATTTTGACAGAACTCCTGACAAGAGCTCTCTCTCTTCTTAAATCCATTTACAGTTGAGAGTTGTAAGAGCGCACTAGTGTGAACTAGCTAAACCCCAGTCAGTGGCTGCTGTGTGAAGTCTGACTCATGCTGATGTCGTGTGTGTCCATGGAGAACTGTGCTCCATCTGGCTTGGTGTGACAGCTCTTTCAGAAGGAGATCACCAAGTCTTCCTTGCAAGTCACCTTGGAATAGATTCAAAGTTCCCACTTTCTGGTTACCAGACAAACGTGTTAACCTTCTACACCACCTTACACCCGTCATATTACAGTAGCTGCTGCCAGTCAGGCAGATCCAACCAACAGCAACTCTATAAACAGAGTAAAACTCATAGGAACAGAGCACCACGTTTGTCTCCAAAAGGCTGGCTGGTAGGTTCAATGCACTGACCTCTCAGTGAGCAGCAGAGTGCTTTAACCACTCCACCACCAGGACTCCTTT